GACCCCAATTTATACTTTGCCCACTTAGTCCATTCAATCTCCTGTAGTGTGCAAGGCAATCCATAAATGCATTGGCAGCGCCATAATTACTCTGTCCTATGTTTCCCATCACTGATGTCATTGATGAATGCATAACAAAATAATCAAGAGGGTACTTTCGTGATACCAAATGAAGATTCCATGTTCCAAGTACTTTTGGTTTTAGTACATCTATCAAATGGACTTCATTCATCCGAGAACTTAGAGTATCTTTTAGTATACCAGCACCTTGAAAAATGCCCTTGATTTTGCATTGTGAACTCTGCTCTATCTTTAAAAACACTTTCTGTACATCATCCCAAACAGTTATATCAGCTACCATTGCTCGAATACGACATCCTGTACTTTCACATAGCATATCAAATTCATTCTGCTGTTTAATAGAAACATTTCGACGTGACAAACTTATTACCTCACCAGCTCCGTGACCTGCAACAAAACTAATAATTTCCCAACCCAAACCGGTTAAACCGCCAATGACAATGTAACAACCGTCCTTTCTAAATAAAGTGTCTTGTGGGATTTTCACGAAATTGTATTTTTGAATATTGTCAAATTTCATGGACATAGTTTTGGTCGGTATCTGTAGTGTACCGTTCGATTCGTAATGGCTATTTCCATTATACTCATGTTTGAAGATTTCAACATCTAGATTGTGCTTATTCCAAAACTTAAAGATAAATGGAGCGACTCTTACACAATTTTCTTTCGATACGACATCATCTATTTGAATGACTTTAACTTCAACATTGTTCATTTGGAAAATAAGTCGATCTTCTTGGTTAAGAAAAGGTGAAAGAGCTATAACTATGCTCAGAGATCTTATCGCTACTAATTTCAGGATGTCTTTGGGACTTACTGTTTTCAACATCAAAACTGTATTTAGTGAATCTAAATTCCAATCAACACCTACATGTAGTCTAGCACTCGATCTTTTGATTTTTTTCAAGAACAGTTGAAGTATTCTCCCGGCAAATTCATTTTCTTTATCGCATAATATTTGTGCATGGTGTCCTTTTCCAACATGATGAACCAATGAGTACATTAGAACACTAGCAAAAATAACACCTGGTTTATATCCTGGTAATTGATGTAGGGGATACACAGTTGTTAATGGGACTTCAACTGTACTCTGAACTCTCATCGGGAAACATGCAACAACTACATCTTCATTATTCACTGCTGTTTTTGAGTTCTTGATTGGAATTAATCCGTGTAATTCTTGTATTGTTGCAGTAGATTCATATGACAGTAAATCAAATTCAGAACAATAACTCCCTTTGAAAGCAAAGAAAGTCTGATCATGACTTACACAAGTTAAAGTTACTGGGTACAAGCATTTACTATGCAATGAAACTTCGTTCAGACTCAAGGAAATATGGTTCTTTGAAATTTCTTGTGGGCCATTTTGTAGAACGCAAAATGTCTGTCTAATATCATTTGCTATTTCAGTTTTTATTGCCACTTTACAGTAATCATCAATGCTCCCATATCGATATTTACTTATTGGCTTGTCAGATGATATTTTCTGCAGATGATTTGTTAACACTTCCCCATGATAAAAAATAAGCTCGCCGTAATTTGGTATACTGTCATCGATGAAAAGTTGAGAAATGAATTCCATAGCGCCACTGATGGATGGATGGCAATCAATCAATCGAATCTCAAAAGATATTTGTTCGCGTATGATAGATCGTACTTGTCCCCAGAGTTCGGAACCAAAGAGATTTACAAATGGACAATTAGTAATATCTGGTACCTGGGTAGCTTCAGTGATGACGGTGAGAAATGTTCCATCTTTCCTGCCTGTTATACACTGGACAATAGCAAGTAAGACTACACAGGAGGCATTTGTTGTCTTTAAAATGTCAGTTCCTGAAATCCAGTCTGTTATCCGTTTACCTGGTGCAAAGTAGATTTCCACAAACCCTGGATTTTGTTTCCAAAAGGTATTGAATATATCCTTTTGTGAACTAAGGGAAGCTTCTTCATTCAGCAAAAGGGTTTTTACTTCTATATCTGGAACAACTTCCCTTATCTGACACAATATTTCCCTGTCAAACGAACAGAGGAGTATTCTCTTTTTTATTTTGTCTGGATCCGTATGTTTTGGCAAGTTGTTAACTTCAACATTTTCCCACAACAAGGCGTACTCCTGTGAGGAATTGGACATCACATCGCCGATAACTTTCAACCTAAAGTCTTCAATTTCAGCGATGATACTACCATTAACAGTCAACAACAACATATTGTAAAGAACTTCCGATTTGGATCGATGCTTCAATTCAGTATACGCAATCATGTTTTGTTCGATCCCTCGCCTCAGGATTAATTTCCCTATGCCTGCAGGTAAGACTGTCCGATCATCAGAGGCGTCTAAAAACAAAACACTTGGCGTTTGAAGAAGACCGTCCAATATAGCTGGATGGAAATGAGTCATCTTTACATCACCCCAAATTACATCTGAAACATGCATTTTAACGAGACATTGCTTTCCATTGGTCCATGAATCACCAAGAATTTTGAGGTGTTTGCCATATGAGAAACCCATGTTATTCAGTGTATCATAAGTATCTTCTGATGATTGGAACTGTGGGCAAACTTTGTATAGGCAATCAATATCTATATTTTCTCTTTCTGGTCGCTCTTCTATGTGACGAATTGTAAATTTTGATATAATGTCCTTGTCCTTCGTTAACACACACATTGGAGATTTCGATGATAAATCATTAATTGATACATCTACTGTGTACGATTGACCAGGAGATAGAAATATTGGTCTTATGAATTCCACTTCAACACATAAATCTTGAACTCTCTTTTGTAGATGTGATTGTCCTACTTCAAGAGCAACCTCGGCATAAAATGCACCAGGGACAATAGGAGTGTTTGAAACATAGTGTTCAAACACAAAAGGTGTATTAACGTCGTTGATTTTTACTTTAAAATTTGCTGTTGAAATAGCCGATTTCGAAACAAACAAATGGTTTCCTACATTATCGTCAAAACCTTTAAATTTCAAAAGTGTTACATCTGGTAAGAATAAAGACTTTCTTGTCGGGTTGAATTTGTATTTCGGTATATCGCATAAGTTACCAAGGCCTTTGAAAACTTTGTGCCAATCTAAATTAACCCCATGCTCGAATAATTCCGCAGTCGATGTTAACAAAGTATCTTCCTCGTGTCTTTCTTTCATCGAAGGCAAGCAAATTGCCTCATCATGTGCATAAGAGTCTCGAAGATGAGCCCGTAAAATTGGTTTTGGTCCTATCTCAAGGAATATGTTAAACGTATTCTTATTTCCAGCAGTGGATACTGCATCCTTGAATAAAACAGGACAACTTACATTTTTGTTCCAATAGGATGCATTAATTACATTGCCATCAGTAATTGTTTCGCCAGTTACTGTTGAAATAAGTGGTATGGAAGGATCTGTACTCAAAATTTGTTTAACGATTTCCTCTAAATCGTTTCCCGCTTGTTCGGTGTGATGACTGTGATAAGCACATTGTACATTTAGGTCTGTCAGGAAAAAAGATTCCTTCCCAGCTTCTGGTAATTCATCTTTTACTGCTTTTTTAAATATATCAACAATATCAGCATCGCTGGATACAGTGCAGGATGTAGAACTGATATATACTGCAATGCAGGCCTTACCCTTAAATTTCTTACATACAGACTCTATGTATTTCGTATTACAATTGCCTATGACAAACATTTTGCCTCCTGTTACAGTTGATAGTATTCTTGATCTGTGGTATATTACCGCAACTGCATTTTCCAATGTCAAGCAACCTGATGCGTACACAGCGGCAATTTCCCCAACAGACTGACCAATAATTGAATGCACCTTTATCCCCCAATGCATCCAAAGAGACCATAGGGCTATCTGGCATGTAAAAATAGCTATATGTCCTGCAAAAGGATCAGAAATATCTTTGCCATTAGCTAAAATATCATAAATTGACCACTCAACCCACTGTTTAAGGATGCTATCAATGTGTTGTACGACGTTTTTTACTACAGTATATTCTTTCAGCAACTGACTGCACATTCCTTTCCATGTCGTCCCTACACCACAAAAGACGGCAATTATATTTGGCGCTCTCAGTCTTACTTTAGATGTGGGTTCATTTGAATTATGTCGGTTTCTTAATTTAAGTTTCAAATCTTCTAAACTGTTGACAAGAAGAGCTATACGATACTGATGATGGTCTCGTCTGATTAGAGATGTGTATGATACATCACACAAACGAATGTCGGTACGAGTTATCTTTTCCACTATTTCAACTAAGGATATCTTCAGTCCGTCTAGGTCTACTGCAGAAATAAAAACTAAATGTAACATGTCCAAAGGTTCCTCCTGACACTGTATCTCTTGTTGAAACTGCTTTACTATCACGTGTGAGTTTGTTCCACCAAATCCGAAGCAGTTACCACACGCCATTCGCTGATTATTTGCATCTGGTTTCCATTGAATAGTGTGTGTTGGAACAATAAAGTGATATTTCTCAAAATCTATTTTTTCATTGGGTTTCTCAAAATGAAGAGAGGGAACAATTGTTTCGTTTTTCATCATTAATAAGATTTTTATTAGCCCAGCTGCTCCTGCTGCTGATTCTAAGTGACCGATATTAGTTTTTACAGATGCTATGTAGACAACATGTTTTTCTAGTGACTGATCGTTTGGTTTTTTTCCAAAAAATCTTCCCAGTGTGTTCGCTTCTATCGGATCTCCAACTGGGGTTCCTGTCCCTATAAATACAGATAACTAGTTAACATCATAATGAAAACATTGGTTTGTGAAATGTTTTCTATTCGTAGGTGTATTTAGATTATACGAAGATTAGAATACTGTCATGAATCATTAAGCAATATTTATTTATTTATTTCATAGCGTATTTCCTAGTGAAAATTAATCACCTAGTATTATACAAAGACATGTTCTCAAATTGTGATATTTACTTACCGTGCGCTTCTATAACTTGTACGTCATTCGGATTGACATTATTTGATAAATAAACTTGATGAAGAAGTTTTTCTTGTTGACAAGCAGAAGGGGCTGTTATGGGGGTTGCTGTGTGGCCATCTTGGTTGCAATCAGTAGCTATTGTTGCCCATATTTTATTTGAATCCTTTTTAGCCTAAAAACAAGTTTATACTTTGTTAAAGATCTTTTTAGATAGGTGGTAAATTTAAAACGAAATGTATACAAAGGACGTTCTTAACCAATGCAGATTTTTTTAAAAGTAAATCTATCAAGTGAAGATTTCTTTAGGTGCAAGTTTTGAGAGAAAAAACGTGTTATATTTTTGTTATATTATATCAAATTGTTTTCAAGAGCAAGATGTAGCACCAAATAAAATTTTCATTGTATGTAAGCATGGGAACTTATTTAAAAATATTTTATGTATATTTTATAGACTTTTGATTATAATTCAGCAAGTCTTAATCACTTTCAAAGTTTGGCACTAGCTCTATTTTTTTTTACTTTAATTTGACTATGTACTATGTACAATCAGCTTTTATGAATTGTCATCTCCTATTTTCATTTTGTTTTTAAATAACTGAAAGGCTTGTTATTTTTCAAAGAAGACACTCCATCAGAAGAATGAATGTCGTATCTTTATAAGTCTGTGCATGTCTTGTCATAACAAAACTCTTGTTGTCTTAGGGTTTAGTAATTCGTAATAAAAGATTATAAGCCTAAAAACTTGTTTTTAGAATTTTTAGATCACTCATATTTTAAAACCCCTTCAGCAAATGCTTTAACAATAACTTAAACGGTACCAATTTTTCTGCACCAGATGCGCATTTCGACAATCAATGCCTCTTCAGTGATGCTCGAGGCTAAAATATTTGAAAATCTAAAGCTTATTAAAAGGATGAAGAGTTATTAACCAAAAAGGAAAAAAAAGTATAGCCAAAGACGGGCAAGGAATCATAGCTTTGCATGAGGGAGATACATTCCTTAAATATGCCTTTTTATAGCTGCTCTCCTTTTGATAGTTGTTAAAATATACTTTACAAAAATGACTTACGTGAACAAGAGAGCCATGAGATCGATATAACCTGATGTATTTCTTCTTTTAGAAATTCAAACAAATGCGTCAACATCCAAGATAACTCTAGACCAAAGGGATACACATATTTCGGCAAGCAATGGTTAATATTGCAAAATTGTTTACTTGTTAACGTTGTAAGAATCTCTGCCATTTAAAACTAAATGAGTATTATTGAAATATACTGCAGTAAGTTAATACTAACATTTCCTAGTTTCTTCATTATAACTATACCACACCCTTCGCCTCTAGCATATCCATCTGCGTTTGCAGAGAAAGCATGACACTGTCCACTTGGGGATGCCATTCTGGCTCGGCTGAGTGGAATAAATAATTCCGGCGATAAAATACTGTTAACCCCTCCACAGATAGCCATTGAACTGCGCCCTGAATGAAAAATAACATGCATGGGAGTGACCAGAAAACCTTTTAACATTAAACAAGGTGAGAACATCCGTTACATGTGTTATGTATGAGTACATGTGGGTGTCGACTTGAAAGTTATACGAATTCCTAACATTATCGAAGCTACAGTAGGTTTTTATTGTAAAGTTGATTAATCGGTAAATGATAACTTATTTCCTTTATCTGACGGATTCTCTGTAAGATTTAAGGTGGGGACAACCAGTGATTGATCAAACGTTTAATTATATGCACGGATCGGATGGATCCATATATAATTAAAATCCGTATTTGAAACGAACTCTATAGGCAAAAATACGTAGTATTACATTTTCCAGGCTTTAGGTTGGCATTTCGTGTACCCAATGAAAATGTTAGTATTATTGAAATATTATGAGTGAATTGAGTCTAAAAAACACATTTTATGAGAAAATTGCTTGTAAATAGGGCCCTTCTATGAATATAAGTACGCAGAGCAAGCCATACTCAGTGTTTGGGGAGCTTTTTCTGACTTTTTCTCCCTATTGTCTATACTTTGCTTTAACAGAAATTTTTTCCAAAGTAATTATTTAAGAGATATATAGGTATACATGTAAGTAAATGAAATTATTTTAGAAGCAATAACAACAAATTATCCACTAGTTAGGGAAGCATTTTATATCCCTCTATGGAGTGCGGCGTAAACCTAAGTTTTATGTAAGGACTTGTTGAAACCTCGTTAGAGTCAGTAAACTTTTATATTGATAGTTCATCCAACTTGAACACTTCAATCACTCATTTAGTATCACTTTTCTGGCATCAATGTGTGATAGTTACCCCAGAATTTCGATTTATTGGCCTAAAAAGTTGAAATTTTGAGGAAATGAGAGGTATAAATGGATCAAAAGGGACATTAAAAGGAAGACAAAGAGGTCCATTAGTGGTATTTATCATCTTAGAGTCATTTTGTTATCATATTCAACTGTTTGTATGCAGATGAGATGAATATTTGATCATTTATTGGTCCACACTATATTCTATCATGATGCGGTGTGATTTGGAAGAAATTTTGTTCAAATCGATGAGATGTCGTCTTACATTATACAAGATTTCTCTCAAACTATTGAACTGGTTATTACAAAACTTGACAGTATTTCTTAATATAACCAGTATTACAAAGGAAAAAAAAAACACATTCAGTTTATTCAACAAAAAAGATTCTTTAGGTGTAATACCACCAAATCATAGTACGTCACATCCGGTTTCATACGAAAAAAGGTCAAAAATATTCCCATGAATCTGACAGTTGTATGAAATTAATCCTATATTTCATTGCAGTAAAACAGTTCTGAGTCATAAACATATATCTTGGATGTTTTAAAGCACCATTCTTTTTTAAATAGGTGTTTTTATAAATAATTTTCGAAACTTGAGGTTACATGGTTACTAAAGCTTGTAAAAATGAAAAAAGGGGGTGAACATTTGATTACTTAACTTCCAGTGATGGTTATTATCTTATATGTAATGAAATATTATGTAAAATTTGGTCTGAAGTACTGGACAAGATACAACTTTACTCATGCCAAGTATTTCTTAATTTGAAACAAAGATAAATTCTACAAAATTTTTTGAAAAGTGCCAATTGAACAAAAACTAAAAGGGGAAAACAATGGTGGTATTACTCCTAAATGGGAAGCGGCACAGGCACCTTTAACCTTGTATGTACCCTCATATGTTAAAATTTCATGCTATTTCAGTGAAATAATGGGCTCTACCATAAATATTAGTAGGCAGAGCAAGCCATACTCAGTGTTTTGAGATTTTTTTCTGACTTTTTCTCCCTATTTCCTATACTTAGCTTAAACAGAAAATTTTTCCTATGTAATACTTAAAGTTATAAGAATGTTGCATGTCCCAATTTGGCAAAGTCCAAAATTGATGCGATATCAATTTTTTAAATAGAACTTATGAAACTTACAAAGTTATTGTAAAGCATGAAAATTTCAAACTGTTTATTTTCTTTGTTTTTTTTTTCGAATGTGTTGGTATTTAGTCAAACATATTACCATTATAAATTCTGAAAATTCTGAAAATTTCAGGTTGCTAGCTGTAGTTGATTCGGAAATGATTGCCCAACATCACAAAATTTCTAACTGTAATATCTCTAAAACGACAACAGATATCTCAAATCTGCTAAGTGTCAATAAAGATTGGGAAAATTCCATGCCTCATTAAGGGCACAATGAATAATTAAATATATGATGCAATATTTGTTTTTTTAATTAACATTACCATCTGTTCCTGATAACTTCAATAGAAACGGAGGGAGGCCATTGTAAAACAATGTTGGAAGAATAAAAAGAAAACAAAACATTAGGAAAACCATTAGGCTTTTCCAAACGTAGGAAAAGACCATAACAATAAGGACTTTCTCACGTTGGGAAAGACCTTAACAAAGATTATCACAAGTAAAAGAAGAAGTATCCAACTTTTAGGGATTTTCATGCTGACGTATTTACCCCCAATGAAGAAAGGAAATGGCTATTGCATGATACCATTAAAGGCACTGCCTTTACAAATGGAAAGTCCGCAATTGAAAAACTGGATAAAAAATAAGGCAAAAATGCCAAACATGTTTCCCACATGTACCCTGAAAAGCATGTGTTACATGTGTATCACATGTGTGTCACACAAGTTTCCTGCCACACATGTATAACATGCCACATGCGAATCGCACGTGTCAGAAAAAATGCATGTGTCACACATGTGTTTGAACACACATGTGACACATGCGATGTCCGCATGTAAAACGCATGCATTTGAAAATACATATACATGCGTTATTTGCATTTGTAAACTTTGTAAACTTCCTTTATATGAGTGTGATTTTTGTCTTGTGAATATCTTTGTGCAACGCACATGCACGCATGTGATTTACATGTGTCTAAAAAACCGCGTATGCCACGCATGTATTTGAAAAATCATGTGACACATGTGCTATGTGTAAGTTTACTTATCATTATTGTGAAAATTTTCTCGTGGATTTCATATGATTTTCACCTGAGAAAATATATATTGTATCTGAGATGAAAAAAAAAGGGAATACTATACTTAAACTGTTGTAAAAATATAATTCCTTGCAACGTACATGTATCGTATCTTCAGGACTTAATTTAAACATAATAGCTTATTTGAAGAATAATTATTTTTAACTTAATTTCACATGAAAATTTCACGTTAAATAACATGTATTGAATCAATTTTCATGTGGAAAACGTAATGTTTAATTCATGCTGATCCGAAAAAACAGACTTTGCAAGAGAAATTTCACAGTTTGAGTTAAAAGTTTTGTAGCACATTACAAATTCACACAGATTTTACACTTTCTTAAAAAATTGAAAACAACACGTTTAATCATTTCATGCGTCCGAAGCGCTTTTCTGGATTTACCTTCATCAGGAACGCTCAAAGCCAAACATTTGAAATCCGAGGATGTATAAGTACCGAAACAGTTGAAGAGCTATATGACAAAAATACCTTAAAAAATAACCAAATTCTTCTAAGGTCAACTTTGCATGAGGGAGTTGAAACCTTAGTTTCTTTATAATTTCAAAATTTATAAACGGACAATTTTAGAAAGGTTTGTTATAAATCATGTCAGTACCGAAGTACTGACTACTGAGCTGATGATACCCTCGGGGACTGATAGTCCACCAGCAGAGGTATCGACCCAGTGCTGTAAAAAATTGAAAACAACACGTTTAATTATTTCATGTGTCCGAAGTGCTTTTCTGGATTTACCTTCATCAGGAACGCTCAAAGCCAAACATTTGAAATCCGAAACATTTTAAACTGTCATATTGTCACATAATTGTGTCTCAAGATTTAATAGAGCCCGTCATAAATTTAGTGTCATGGATGGATAAGTGTGTATAAAATGAAAGCTAAATCAGAAGCCATGTGGCAAAATTATCTGTAGTTTGTTAATTTGCTAAATTTGCGAATTTGAAGAAAAAACATTCTGAAAACATTATTGTAACTTTTCACATATTAATCTAAATCTAGTTTTAAAACAAATTTAACTACATAAAGAAACATATTATAATTCTTTCACGTAAATTGCACATTGAAGACAATCTATATTCTAAATTTAAATATGTATATATATATATATTGAATGAACAAGTCTAAATTGAAAACAACGCTCAAACCTATGATTGCGTTGGATAAAAGCCGCAATTTTTATACGTGTGCATGCAAAACAAATTTCTTGTTAGAGGGGTCTAAATACAGCACAAACAACATTTTCCAAAAGACCAAAAAGTGAAAAAGTATATTTTAACAAAACGCATTTGACTAACAGGTCGAACAACAAATGTTCTTAAATCCTGCTGACTGTCATTGGCGATTGCCAAATAAACGGATCACCGATGTAATAAATGGATCTTAGTTATCAATTTAATACTAAACAGAAAACAATTATCTTGCGGAAAAGATGGTATAGCGCAAACAAAAGGTGAAAAGATTTTTGTACCCCATATCCGGATTTCGACAACAAATGTCTCTTCACTGATGTTAGGAATCGAAACGGTATTTGGAAAGCCATTCAATTTACCTCAATTTAGGATAGACTCTTGAATTTTGAGGAGTCAAAATAGGATGAACGGATCATATAAACCCGAAAGCAAATATAATACAAGCCCAAACGAAAAAATATAAACAAGTCTAAATTGAAAACAACGTTCAAACCTATGATTGCGTTGGATAAAAACCGCAATTTTTATACGTGTGCATGCAAAACAAATTGCTTGTTAGAGGGGTCTAAATACAGCACAAACAACATTTTCCAAAAGACCAAAAAATGGAAAAAATATATTTTAACAAAACGCATTTGACTAACAGGTCGAACAACAAATGTTCTTAAATCCTGCTGACTGCCATTGGCGATTGCCAAATAAACGGATCACCGATGTAATAAATGGATCTTAATTATCAATTTCATACTAAACAGAAAACAATTATCTTGCGGAAAAGATTGTATACCGCAAAAAAAAGGTGAAAAGGTTTTTGTACACCATATCCGGATTTCGACAATAAAGGTCTCTTCAGTGATGTTAGGAATCGAAACGGTATTTGGAAAGCCATACAATTTACCTCAATTTAGGATAGACTCTTGAATTTTGAGGAGTCAAAATAAGATGAACGGATCATATAAACCCGAAGGAAAATATAATACAAACCCAAACGAAAAATTTAAAACAAGTCTAAATTGAAAACAACGTTCAAACCTATTATTGCGTTGGATAAAAACCGCAATTTTTATACGTGTGCATGCAAGACAAATTTCTTGTTAGAGGGGTCAAAATACAGCACAAACAACATTTTCCAAAAGAATAAAACAGTGAAAAAGTATATTTTAACAAAACGCATATATTGAATGATATACACATCAAAACAATATCAAATATTTTGAAAGATCCATACAGGAAGAAAAAAGGTAGTTATTCATTGCATAAAGGTGTCGGTCAGCATAGTTCATGTTATGCATCCCTGAATAATGTTTTCGAAATTTTGCCTTATGGTATACGTAACATACCCATTTTTAAGCTCTGAGCAGCAACATCGATTGCAACTAAAGCAGATGAACATGCAGTATCTATTGACATTGACGGTCCTAGCAAGTTATAAACATATGATACACGAGCGGAAATAATGCTTGGAGATGTTCCGGTTAGGCTGTAGTTTGTCATTGTAGTAAGGTCATCAGCGGCTGATCCTTTATAATCATCATTCATAAAACCTGAAAACAATTTATTCTTCAATGTACAAACGTCATTAATGTTTGTATTTTTTTCGATCGTATTGCAAATGTCGGCAAGCGTTTTTTACAGTGATTAAATGCCTGTTTCTTTAATAAAAAAAAATACAGTCTTAAAATTAGCCCTTTCTAAAGGTTAATAGACACATACATAAATATAGATTTTGGAAACTTTCCCTGACAGTAAACTTAATATATACAAATTATTCAAAATGGAATTGATAATATATTGTTCATAGTACTTACACTGGAAAATTTGGTAGATTTTATCATATGTATACCATTATTTGGGGAATAAATAATTGTTTATCGTAGTATGTTGTTAAAATACAGGAATATATTTTTTATTTTTTTTGTAAAGCAATTGCATGTGAAACATTTTGTCGAATATAAAGAAAATGATAATAAAAGAATAGCTGTTTTCTTTAATTTTGTCTTCTTGAAAAATTTAAAGATATCAAACTTTTCTAGATGAGAACTGTTTTTATGCCAATCTCCTTAAACTTATATACTGTAGGATAAAAAGTAAAATCACAAAAATACTGAACTCCGAGGAAAATTCAAAAAGGAAAGTACCCAATCAAATGGCAAATTCAAAAGTTCAAACACATCAAGCGAATGGATAACAACTGTCATATTCCTGACTTGGTACAGTTTTCTTATTAAATAAAAGCCTCGGTGAGCTTTTCCTGATATAGAAAAAAAAAATGTTTCTACTGCATTTTATTTCAAAGTATTTTCTTATTTTTTCAAGTATTAATAAACCATTATTTCTGTTTTACCTATAAAAACTCCAGTGTTTGATCCACTAATCATATTTCGTGTGATGCCGCCATCTTCCAAAGCCATATGGACGCATTCAAGCACATATCGTTGTTGAGGATCCATACGTTCTGCTTCAATGTCATTGATTCCAAATAACTTATTATCAAATTTATCATGACTACAACATATTTTGAAGGTTTAAGTGAATGCAGAATTTTTTTTATTTTTTATCGAACATATATAAATATGTAAATTCATATGACCTAATAAATTTGCAAAAAATTAAATTTTTCTTTTTTTGTGCAAATTATGCAAAGAAGATACTAGTAATTGATGTCATATTTTTGTTAACTTAAGACAAACAATATTGTTCAATGGATATCTTTTCTAGAAATTTTGTCACTTTTACAATATTGTTTCGAACAACAAATATTTTCAAATGATTGAAAGACTTACTTTCTCAGAAATCCTGCTCTTGGAACATATGTCTTTCCTTTTGCGTCGGGATCGCTATTATAAAATGCATCATTGTTCCATCGTTCAGGTGGTATATCAATAACATGATTCTCGCCATTAACCAACAATTGCCAAAATTCGTCTTGGTTATCAGCTCCGGGAAACTTACATCCAATACCAATAATGGCTATAGCGTCATCGTCGTCCATTTTAATCCCAAATCATTCTAATTTGTACAGTGGGAAATTCAGTGACAAAATATTACCTCCCCTGTAAATATTGAAAGTTAGATCTTCTCAATGTTTCTCCCATTTTAACAAGGACGCTATCAATTTTGGATTCACGGGAGAACGTTCTGGTAAATAGTAAAAATATAAATAAGTCGAAATAAAAACATAACTTCTATTCAATGTTATCATTTCTCTCCTTAAGTAACACACGACGAGTTCAGCAGGCTATAGAAGAGTGATGTAAAATTGGTTTAAAATGTTGCTATGCGAATAAATTCTTTGAATACCAACTTCAATTTATTTTTCTACTGGCTGTATACCTTTCTGGAACATACCAATTATCCGAATATATATACAGCTAGATCAGAAAAAGTCAGGGAACAAATTCCAAAGGAATCAATTGATATGCAGCAAAGATTGGCACTTTTGAAATTAAGTTACTAAGCAAATTCAAACGGACCTTATCTCGATGTAAACATTGAAAGTGAATAGATCGAGAAGACCGCAAATATATGTACAAACATCGAGACGACCTTTTCTTAAAATTATATAAAAAATAGTAGAAAGATACCAACTTTATAAAAATAGTTATCTTTAATTTCTTTACCTGCACAGACAGACTTTAAAATTTTTATATTCACAAAAAGACAATATTTCTCTATTGAGAGTACATGTGAAAAGAGCAGACCGGTGTGATCGATAACTTAGGTGTGAAAAAATAAGTATACTGTGGAAACTTGTAACATGCTAAGGACTTTGTGGAACACTCCGAAAATTGGTGACCCGAAAGATCCTTAGATTTTGTATGTTCATGATTTTTTCCAATTTTTTTTATCAATATGCAGCAAAGATTGGCAGTTTTTAAATTTCAGTTTCACAAGCTTCTAATACAATTATCTCGATAAATACTGAACATAAAACATCGTGTATTTGCATGTATATTTCTAATAACACAGTTTAACAATTAATTTATTTAAAATGAACAATTGTTATTTGGAAATAACTTTTGATCAGTATCGTCACCGGCTTTCTCGACTCTATCATAAGAAGAGTAAATTTTCTTTTGTTTTCGTTTACTGGATATCCCACTGTGTATCTGTAAATAGTCCTTTGATATTTTGATATCGTCTTTATAAAGTTAAGGAGATGTCGTATGATTGCCAACAAGACAAGTATTCACCAGAGGTTAAATGATGTGGATCTTTAGATAGTTTGTTAGCTACTATATTATACATATATATTACTATCTAGTTAATTAGACCAGTCCTCTGGTCTTGCATTTTGTCGATACTTTTATTTCAGGATTGTATAAGGTAACGCCTTTCTCGCTTCCACAAATGTGACCTACCGAATTAGACTTATTACCGGGTTCGTACTAACATGAGCAACACGACGGATGCCACATGTGGAACAGGATCTGCCCACCCTTCCGGAGCTGGTGGGGTTCGTGTTGCTCAGTCTTTAGTTTTCTATGTTGTGTTTTTTGTACTATTGTTTGTCTGTTTGTCTTTTTTTTTTAGCCATGGCGTTATCAGTTTATTTTCGACTTATGAGTTTGAATGTTCTTTCGGTTATTTGGCAAATCCGTTCGAAATTTTGGTTCATCAATGCTTTTTTTACTCTTCTTTCATCTTTTCTTATTCAAGTGTCACTGATGAGTTTTTAGAAGACAAAACGCGTGTCTAGCGTACAAAATTTTAATCCTAATAGTTATCATGAGTTTATTCTTATGATTGAGCATCAATTTTTCATACATTTCTTCCGTTTGAGGTGTTCTTATTAATATCTAAATCTGGAATAACATCAACTTTGAACCAGCTTTAAGTAACTGCCAGTACTCAGTTTTTTTTATATCAGAATTTTATGTCACATTCATTTATTTGGCACGGTTTTTGTTCCTAGTACCGATCGGACGATTCAAACCCCTTTTAACTGTCATATTTACAATTTGTTTTTCGTTACTATGACTTGTGCACCGCTGACAAAAACGTAAGTTGAATCCTGTCTGATGGACAAGAAGATCTTGCAAAGATCCAATAAATAAAATATATTTATCTTATCAATCATGATAAGTGTGAAATTCACTTGAAGAAAAACTGCTTTTTTTTTTAGAAAATCACTTAACCATGAATACAATAACGTTGAGAGATGCAGCTAAATTTTTGAAAAAAACATGAAATTTCAAACTGTTCACTCCGTTCTTGTATCTTTGTATACCGTATTCACGGCCATCGTTCGGACAAAGCAGTAACGGTGGTAAATAATTGCAATATAACCGAGAGTTAACTGTAGCTGATCATAAAAGCAATGAAATACGATACAACTTCAAAATCTACAAAAAAATCCTTTGTATTATAAAACGATTGAACATATTAGAAAAAATCAAACATATATGACTGTCAAAATGCTTATTATTTCTCTGTATAACCACGCACCAAGATAATGAATTCGGATTTAGCAGACAATATGTATTAATTGTCATAAACATAATGCATATTTACAATGTGAAGATTCGAATAGAAGTTCAAATTATAAATGTTCATACTACATGATGGAAAACATAGAAATTACATTATGCGTGTGCATCAGAGAAACACGCATCTTGTTTTTATTTCAAAGCAACAGGAACAATGTAATTCATCCGTATTGAAAAGTAATAGATTTTTACATGTCAACTATACAAAGAAATTCATGACATATATTGAACTTTGTCTTACATATTTGCCAAACAGCTTCCAACTTCTTGCATTACGTGCAAAACTAAAACAAACTGCCCAAATAGCTTCATGTTGAGAACCTGTCATTATTGATTAGATATTTTGCTGCAAGATGGTTTAAAAAAAGATGTAAATGTTTGTGAAGTATCTTTTGGGTAAGTCCTCTTGATATCTATCTAGGCTGTCCTAACATAAAATGTTTGTAAGTGTAAAATTTTTTAATAAAAATCAATTAACCGTTTGAAAAGTATTTTGTTAATGAAATAAATTCAGAGGAAAATGTCCCCGCCTCTATAGAAAATTTCCCCAATTTTACCTTCGTCTTCTTATTATTCTTCTCCAAGGCAACCTGCATAAAGACTCTTGCGCAGAAAGTAATAATATTCCAACATGAATTGCATTTTTCTTTTATACTTTGTACTTCGTGTTGATGTTAAATATTTTATTTAAACATGATTGGATGCAAAGATTGGGAATGTTACTCGTATGATGAATTAAACTACCAATCAGAACTTTCAATCTTAAAACCTACCTTAAAGATTTATCTATCCAATTACATTTAACAAAAGTTGTCTGTTCTGAGAATACACAACACATTATTTGGTACACGAAAATTAGGTCGGAAATAACTGCGTTTCTGTGAAGATTGACAATAATGTCGTGATCATTCGTTTATCTCGGGTCAAAGGAAATCCCCAAATTTCCCGAAGTCTTTGTCATTCAGTATTCAGTATGATTCTTTTATTGCTGATTTGTTAATGATTTCGATTGTTTATTGTGATTGATCCTTTTATTTTAACAGGAGAAACTACCACGTGTTTAATTGAATTTGATATATGCATTTGTAAGGTATTTTTATGAGTTACGATTTATGACTAAAATCAGCAAAGACCCATCGAAAGAACATCTGATACAAAAATTTAATAACACTTTTAGATATTTGGATGATATATTTGCTCTCAATAATGACGACTTCAGTATGTACACTAAAAAGATTTATCCTACTGAACTGACTTCAAATAAAGCTAATACTGACAATGAATACTGCCCTTTCCTGGATCTTGATATCTATATCTTTAACGCAAAGCTTAATACCAAAATTAACGATAATAAAGAAGATTTTTCATTTCCTATTGTTAATTATCCATTTTTAGATGGTGACGTCATTTGTCACCATCTTATGGTGTTTATATATCTCAACTTGTTCAATTCGTTCGTGTATGTAACAACGTATTTGATTTTAACGAAAGAAATCTCTGTATTACTGAAAATTATTACACCAGGGTTTTCGATATCACAGACTAGTAAAAATATTTATTAAATTTTATCAGCGGTACAAGGACATCATTCGTAAATATAAATCAACATGCAGACATCTTATACGTTCCGGTTTTTCACATCCAATCTTTTGTGGTAATATTCTATACATAGCACAAAAATGTCGTCATTCACATCAAAAGCTAACCAAACCTTTAAACAGACTTATTCAGAAGAGATATAGTTACGATACTGTTGTCAGGTCATTTAAAATGGCATTTTTGGAATTGATATTGCTTGACTCTTAGGGTTTTTGCATCGGAAATAAACACATTTATTCTAAAACCAGTTGTTGGCATGATACGGGTTATGTTCTTCTCATATATTTTTTTAATGGCATGGTACTAAACCCCTTACGGGAGGGATTGTGCTTATTTTTCACATGATGAAATCATAATCTTTCAATCAGTTTAGTTGAGGTTTGCGGCTGGCATGTCAGTAACTGCTAGTAGTCTTTTGTTAATTTATGTATCATTGTCTTTTTGCTTAGTTTCTTCTGTTACCTATTTCAACATCGGACTCGGATTTCTTTTAAACTGAGTGGTACTGTGCGTATTGTTTTGTGTTGTTTATTCTACATTGGCTAGAGGTATAGGGGGAGGTTTGAGATCTCATAAAACATGTTTAACCCCGTCGCGTGTTTCCACCTGTCCCAAGTCAGGAGCCTCTGGCCTTTGTTAGTCGTGTATTTTTTTTTTAATTTTAGTTCACTTATATGTTTCGGAGTTTAGTGTGACGTCCATTTAACTGAACTAATACACAAATTTTGATTAGGGGCTTGCTGAAGCCCGCCTCCAGGTGCGGGATTTTCTCGCTGTGTTGAAGACCCATTGGTGGCCTTGGGCTGTTTTATGCTCTTCGGTCGGGTTGTTGTCTCTTTGACATATTCCCCATTTCAATTCTCAATTATATTAAAAATGCAAAGTTGTCACAGGTAATATATGA